GCACTGTAGCTCAATTGGTAGAGCGCTTGCCTTGAGCAGAGTTGCTGAGGGACAGTGCCCAGGCCTAGAGTTCAAGACCCACGCCTGACCAAAAAAAAAAAGTTCCTCTGCATAGGCTTTCTCCTCTGTTTGAAATAAGAACAAACCATATGAAGACTAGATTGCCACTTTGGTGGCCCAGTGACCTAAGAATATTGTCCATAAGGGTCTAAAGCCATCTCTGAGACATGACATGCAAAGAGAGCAAGTACCCTCACTCCAAGAAACCCCCATAGATCAACTCCATCCTACAGGTTCCCCCACCCCAGCCTCTGGATCAAAGCAGTCAGTGGACACAGGTGTCACCAGTCACCAGATGAATTAGGAGCCATGTGAGCCGTGGTCTGCTTTCAAGAGGTTTGTTACCGATCATCACAAACCCGTGTGTGAGCTGGGTGTGCCTGGTCGGCTTCCCTCTGCCGTCTCTTAGCAACCGTCTCTAATGCCTGTTGGCTTCTGGTTGAAGGGTTCTTCAACACGTTGCAACGGATGTTTTTCCTCTTCTGTTGCAGAGAGTTTGGGGAGGAGGGACTAGGCACAGGTTTTATTTTAAAGTCTATTTCCCCAGCATTGTTTTATCAACACTTAATAAAAGACACCCTTTGGAAATGCTTTAGGTTCTAGGAGGTGGTTTTTTCTTCTACGACTTGGTTTGATTTTTCTTCTTCCATGACTTGGTTTGATTTTTCTTCTTCCATGACTTGGTTTGATTTTCACACAGGAAGCATTCAGCCCTTCTCTGGAGCTGCCTCTCCAGAAGACTTTGGGTGCGGCCACCGGAAGTGCGGCCATACTTGTTGCTCTGGTTGTTGCTGAGTTGGCAAAGCAGAGGACAGAGCCAGTACCCCTCACTTCCACTGAGAGAAACACAGGAGGGAAAACAAAGCCAGAGGTGTGTGTACATCGCCTGCCCAGTCCTAGGCATGCCTCTGGCCTCTCAGGCCCGGCCCTGGGGTCCCAGAATCTGCCCTGCATCTGAGCCAGGTGGCTTCCGACCACCAGAACCTCTCCCTGCGTGCTGGCCTCTCTTCACCCGCCTCCACCCATTCTGACTCCAGCGTGGGGATGAGTCGTGCCCTTCAGGGATTTTAGCACCCACATCCCACTGGGCTGCACCGTCTGTTTCCAGGCAACCCAGCTTCCAAGGTGGAATGCCAGTGTGAGAGGGGAGAGATATATTCTGTGCTGTGAATGAAGAGCCCCAGGCAGCTGCTAAAGTAAACAAAAAGAAATAAGGAAAAGGCGGCTGGAGGGAAGGAGGAGGAGGAGCCAGAGATTGATTCTAGAGGAGTCTGAAAGGTGGTTGCATGGGGACGGGGTGTGGCAGTTGAGCATGTATCATGAGGGAAGAGCAGCCCCCAGGTGGTGACCACAGCAGGGAGGTAGCCGTGACTACATATTAGGAGGGCGTCTCTGAGAGGGAAGGGCTGCTTTTCTCCCCGTTCACAATGACCAAGGTAAGAAATCAATGGCGATATCCACTGGTGGGTGGATGGATAGATAGATAGGTAGAGGAAATGTGGTACTTACACACAATGAAATACTATTCAGCCTTGAAAGAAAGGAGAGCATCTGATTGCTGAGACAGCATGGACGGGCTGGAGGACATGTTTCGTGAAATAAAACAGCCACAGAAAGGTACTCATAGCCTCTCGCATACCCACAACCTTAACGTGGTTCCTAGAGGTTGGGAAGGGGCACATGGAGGGAAGGTGGATAATAGATCCCAGAGTGCCACGGGACAAGAGGGATGTGTGCCAGTGTCCGCAGCCACAGTGGTCACCAGAGCCCTCAGAGCTTTATCATGTGTTTGATAAAGAGCTAGAAGATAGGAGAGGTGACTTGTGGCACAGAGATGGTGATGGGATGGGTATGCTAGTGACCTTGCTGTGATCGTTGCACATTGGGTATGTCTACTGTCATACTGTAGGAGGCATTGTTGCTACACGTCATTTTAAGAAGGGGGGGTGGTGTAGCCAGAACCCCACCCTCTGGTGTGGGAAGGGTGAGTCACTGCCCTGGAACTCCTGGTGAGCCTGGTTGTGCGTGGCTAGGCCTCTCCCTGGGTGCCCTGAGTAGCTCTGGGGAGAGGCTGGGAGCCTGCATTTTCAAGTTGTGTCCCCTCCCCCTGTAGGGCAGCACTAGAGTCCAGGAAGGGTCCCAAAAGCCACGGACTGCAGTCCTCCTCCAGCACATGGGGGAACTGAGGCAGCAGTCCTCTCAGGAGTGACTGGGGGAAGAGGTGGTTTCCAGCGATGGCGTCCGGGCAGTAGTGTGAACGTGGGAGCCGGTGTGAGGCGTGCGTGTGGCGCGTGTGGGGGACCTGCGTGTGCTGAGGGATGATCATCTGGGAACTGGAGTCCCTGAGGGCGCGGGTGCCTGTGTAAACTGACTGGTGTGAGTGAGTGTGCTGGCGAGCACCTCTGCGTGCCGTTGGCTGCCTGTGCCGGGCAGAGGCACTGGGCCTGGCTGGCACGTTGGAGGCATTCCTGACAGTGCTGGCACTGCCTGGAGAGGGCCGCGTGGCTATCCGGTGTGGCTATTTCCTGCTCAAAGTATCTACATGCAGTGGAGAGCAAGGGACGATCCCGGTAGACATCACGTAGGAAAAGATGCAAAATGAGCTGGGCGTCAGTGACTCACAATCCTAGCTACAATCCTAGCTACTCAGGAGGTTGAGATCTAAGCCAGGCTGGGCAGGAGATCTCACAACACTCTTATCTGCAATGAACCATCACCTTCCTGGGGTTTCAGACAGAGGACATTGCCCAAGCTGGCACTGTGGTGTGGAGGAGCCGGAACATGGAAAAATTGGAGTTCAGTTTTCCCCTACCGGCTCTGTGTCTTCCTGCACCTCTGTATCCTCACCGGTGAAGAGTTTACAGAGTTGTTACAAATTGCACAAGGTGGATTTGGGGTTCAGACTGTAATCTCACCCTGGATTGCACATTCATATATTAAGGCAGCAAAGGTTCTTAGAGGTGGTAAGTACGAGATAATACAGATTCACCTTGCATTTTAAAATGTTCGGATGAATCCAAATGGTAAGTAAGCTTTTTGTCTCTTTATTCTTTCAGTGCTAATTAAATTGCTTTTCTTGAACACGACATTGCAATTTTTCTTTCATTTTCTGCCCTTTTTCAGTGCTGGGAATCAAACTCAGAGCCTCACCTACTCACTTGGCTTGTTTGCTCAAGATTGGTGCTCTACCACTTGAACCACACCTCTACTTCTGGCTTCTTGCTGGTTAATTGGAGATAAGAAGTTTGTTTTGTTTTTTTTTTGGATTTACCTGCCTGGGCTGACTTTGAACCATGATCCTCAGATCTCAGCCTCCCGAATAGCTAGGATGACGGGTGTGCACACTTGCACAGTGCAGTTGTAAAGTCTGTCAGTCCATTCTGGCCCTGATCAGGCTCTTCTTTTAAGATGGCCCAATAAGTGACCCCCCTGACCCCCCCCACATCGTTTTTCTGTAGGATGTTTGGAGATTTTTTTGTCAGTCATGGGGCTGACCTCAGGGACCAGGTTCTGTCCCAGAGCTCTTTTGCTCAGCTACTGCTCTCTATGGCCTATGAGCCACAGCTACTTCTTGTTTTCTAGTGGTTCATTGGAGGTGAGAGTCTCAAGGGGACTTTTCTGCCCAGGCTGGCTTTGAATCGTGATCCTCAGATCTCAGCCTCCCGAGTAGCTAGGATGACAGGCATGAGCCACTCACACCCAGCTTAAAATCTTTTTTCTTTAAAACTACTTTTTAAGTCCAAGTTACAGCTCAGTTGATGAGTCAATCCTCACGAAGCTTCCAAGGGAACGCATCGTTGGGCCCTCCGCAGAGCCGTTATTCCCAGCTCTGTGATTCCGCAGCGTGGCTCGGCGGCCAGTCCCTAGGACGCCGGTCCAGAGGACTGCAAGGTGGAAGGACTTGGTGTGGGGCTCGGGGAGGCCCCTGGAAGAGCTGCTCTGCTTCAGACTTACAACGCGGGGAATCGCCCTTCTGCGCACCAGTGGGCCAGCTCTTGTTACCTGTCTGCGGGAAGCTAGAGAGGCTTTCTTCATCTCCTGTGAACTCTGCTCGGGCTTTCTACACACACCGTGAACCTTCAACCGCCAAGAGCAAAGGCATCTGGGGATCTGACATAACGTTTAAAAATCCATTCTGTATACCACCTGCCGGCTGCTGAAGCGAAAGGCACACCATCTAGAGTCCTACCTCAAACCCCCTTCCCAAAGAGTCCTGCACACAGCCTCGCAGCCCCGACGTCTCTGTACCTTTGGACTTGGGAGTTGTTGTTGGACTTCGCTTGGTGCTGCCCAAACAGCTCCAATGGTGAGCATGTTGCCCTGGGCGATGCTCCCAACCCCCGATATACATCCCGGTATTATATTAGGTTAGTGGAAGTCTCCCTCTGAACACAGCTCCTGCCAACCCAGGAGGAGGGGCTGGCGCTGGGCCGGGGGACACGTTGGTGCCTTCCAAGTGGCATTGTCATGCTGTGTGAAGGCGCTTCTCTGAGCCTGATGTACTACTTTGATTGGACTCTGTCTTCTCTTGCCAGTTGGGAATGACAGGGTAAGAGAATACTTTGTACTCGGTGGAGTCAGATAGAGGTCTGAAATGCGTTTTCTGCGCAACAATGAGATGCTTCACGGTGATGTGGCTGGGGCTGTTGTCTGCTCGCCTTTCCTAAAAGATGCCATCTGCCTGCGGCAAGAATAGGCCGTGAGATGCAGGTGCCTCCAGGGAGGCTGCCGCGGCGGTGGCAGGCGTTAATGAGCGGGCATAAGGGACTCCTCGCATCAGCGCGCTCTCTGAAGCCATTGCTGCCGCCAGCCATCTCGGGGACAGAAGGGCCCTTTCTGCAGCCTGGGGTGGCTCAGGACCCTTTTGTGTCCCTGCTCAGGCTCCAGACTGCTGTGGGGAAGGCCCTGAGTCCTGCACTGCCCACTGCTCCTACCGGATGATGCCTACGACCCTGGGGCTGGCCCTGCTGGCTTGGGCTGGCACCCTTGGCCTGAGCCAGGGGAGCAGCTTCACAGGTGAGGGGCCTGGGACCCAGGCTGCAGTGGGGGTCGGGTGGAGGGTTCCCTGGGAATGGGTCTCATGAGGATGGGACCTCTTGGGCTCAGGGCAGGCCAGGACACAGATGCTCTGAGAGGGGCGCCTTCTCAGGGCTAGCCGCCGCCGCCGTCGCTGTGGAGGTGGGCAGAACAGGGAAGAGCACTCCTCCAGCATGCGCGTGAACCGGGAGCAGAAGGGGGTCTGTGGGTTCAGTTGCAGAGGGCCAGGGGCTGTGTTGGGGTGCGGCCAGGAGCTCTTCTGCCTTTCTGCAGATGGCTGGAAGATGGCAGGCCTGAGGACCACACTGAGAACAGCCAGTCCCTAGCGACCCGGAATAAGATCTCTTACCTCTCGGTGCCCCGAGGCCCTGGCTTACAGATGAGGACAGGGCGGCAGAGTGGTGGGTCCACCCCTGGCCAAATCCCTCCGGGGGCGGTGAGGGGCATTGAGTGCACTGTCCCAAGTGTTGGGTGTCAGGAGTGCGTTGTCAGGAAGTGTGTGGTTGGCAAGGTTGCCGTGGAAACCACAGTATGGGGGCTGGATGCAGTTCAGGGGCTCAGTGTCTGCCCAGCCTGTGTGAGCCTCACAACGAAACCAACAAGCCACTGGATTTCTGAGGCTCCGGATTCCAAGGAATCCAAGTGGCAAACCTTCAATTTTCCTCTTCAGAGCTGTAGTATTCAATGGAGAGTTTAAAGAGATATTCTATTCCTGTAATTACCTTCATTAAAAAAAAAAAACAAGTCTGTGATTTTTTTCATCTAGAGTTGATTTTACTTTGAGGGATGATGATGATGATGATGATGATGTGGCTTTGGAGTTAGGTGTGTGACTCATGCAGCTCAGGTGCGGGGCAGGTGGGGACACTGCGGGGATTGTGGTCCCTTTCGTGGACCAGGGTACAGAAGAGTGGTGGAGCTCAGACTCCTGTCTCAAGTCCTCTCCGGTGCCCAGCGCTGGCCCCACACCCAGGACTTTGCTTGCTCCTTCTATGACCACAGAGCATAGTGCCTATTTTATAAATGGCAAGGTTGAGGTGCACATGTGTCCCTAGGGGCATCTGGGCTGGGGAGGCCTGTAGCTCTTCTCCACAAGGGAAGCTCTGTGGAGGGGAGCAGAGGCCCCGGGGTCTTGGGGGTGTGTGTTGTGAAGTGGGTGCAAATATGGCTGGATCTGAACTCAGCATCCTGAGCTCTCCAGCATGTTGTCTTCCCACCTCGGACTGGACTCCAGGCCCCGTGGGACAAGTGATGGCACCGCAAGGAGTTGTTGACTGGCAGAACCTGCTAGAAGGTTCCACTCTGGCTCTGTCAAGAAGCCAGGCTTGGGGCTGCCATGGTAGCCTCTATAGCGGGTGAAAACAAAACAAGACAAACACCTGCCGGGCTTCCCTGGAGGGGTGTGTGTGTGTGTGTGTGTGTGTATGTTCCCATGTGGGTGTAAGGAGGAGGCTCTGCTCCAGGCCCTGTAATGATCAGAGAGAGCCAGGTGTCTCTAGAGACCAGGCACTGTGGCCTTCGAGGCATGGCTGACTGCTCATGTGAGGTTAAGTTGGACAGCTCTGACCCGCCTCTGCCTCACTAGCTTCTTGTGGACATTTGTCTTGCTCCACATGACCACAGAACGAATCTCACACTCTTTCTTCTGGCATTTTCTACAGCTCTTCATCCAAGTCACATCCTGGTCCTGGCCTTCTGAACACCTCTGCCACGTGTTCCTCTCCAGGGAATACTGTGAGGTCTTTGCTGAAGACCAGCAAGAGGTCCCCCCTTCCCCAGCCCTGTCAGGCCAGGCCAGGCCAGGCTGACCCCATGGGGTGGCTGGAATGCAGCTGCCTCCAGGGGAGGGGGGTCCATGGGAAGGGGGCTGGGTATCTAGAGACGCTGTCATATGAAGCCGCTTGTCCATCCTCTATTGAGAGGCTTAGAGGGGACCCCTGGACCCTGCCCAAGCCCTGGAAGCCCAGCCAAGAGATGCTGGAGGCACCAGATAGCGTTAAACAGGAGACATTTCACACTCAGGCCTGAGCGCAAGACCCGGGTGTTGAGGCTGGAGAGAAAGCCCAGTTCCAGGCCCAGTTCCAGCTTGGTCACTTTTGGCAATCTTTGGCCTTTCTTGGCTGATAGAGGAATCGCCCTACTGTCTGCTTTTATCTGTGTGTGTGTGTGTGTGTTCACGGGGCCAGGTCCAAATTTCCCTTGTCCCTGAGCACAGGCCTCCTGACTCAGGGCCACCCTGGGCCCTCACCTCACCTCTGTGGTTGGGATCACGTCCTGAGCAGGAGGTGACAGGGGCTCCATAGGGGGCAGGGCAGGACAAAGAGAAGAGCTGGCAGCGCGTACTGTGCTCAGGGCCAGGCTGCTGAGACAGCCCTCCCCCTCCCCGCCCCCACCCCGTCCACGGGGCAATCCCACCCATGGCAATGGTGACTTGTCTTCCCTCAGCATGAGCCGAAGCACACAATGCAGCTTAAATATATGTCTTCCACTCTGTTCTCCCTCCCCAATGGCTGTCATTGTCACCTACTGGCCTGCAGCGGTCTCTAGTACGCACTTGTCAAGGAGAATCTGCATGTTCATTTGCCACTGAGGTTCTAGGACCGGAGACGCTGAAGCCTGTGGGATCTTTCTACAGACTGGGAAGCATGGGAAATTGGGGTCTGATCTCTGGGTCTTTGATGCCAACTCTGTATCTGTTCTTTAGCTAATTATTTTATTTATTTATCTTGTGCTGGAACTGAGAACTGAACTGGCTTGGCTTTTTATGCTCAAAGCTGGTGATCTACCCACCATTTGAATCATGCCTCCATTTCTGGCGCTTTGTGGTGGTTAATTAGAGATAGGAGTCTCATGGACTTTCCTGGGCTGGCTTTGAACCTCAGATCTCAGCCTCCTGAGTGGCTAGGATTACGGGCGTGAGCCAGTAGGGTTTGGCTCTTTAACTCCTGAGTTATTAGTCACAGATGTTCTCTGCACACGTGGGGTCAGAGATCCATAGTTAGGACAGTGGGTCAGTTCCAAGACCCTGTCAAAGGGCAGAGGCCTCATTCCTGTTGATCTCTCAGTGGCTCACCTTTCCGATTCTGCCTGCTGGTCTGACCTTGGTGTTTTCCTCCCCGCCTGCCTCCTCCTTCTCTTAGAGAAAGGCCTGTCCTTGCTAAGCTACCAGCTCTGCAACTACCACGTGACGCGAAGGGTACAGAAGGTGGAGGCGGTGCAGACGTCCCGCGTGATCTACACGTCCTGCGGTGGCTGGATCCCCTGGAGGCAGTGCCCCAAGACTGTGTACCAGACCCAGTACCTGGCCATGGAGGTCCCCGAGTCCAAGAACGTGACCGATTGCTGTGAGGGCCACGAACAGTTCGGCCTCTACTGCGTCCTGTGTGAGTCCAGGATCACAGGGTGGGACAGGGCAGCTCCTGGGGTAGCAGTTGTTGGGACAGCCCCTGTTCAAGCAGCCTGAATGTGCCAGATCTTTCTAGAACACAGGTGTTCGGCCTCCATCTGGCAGGCTTCTTGTTGGCCCACCCCAAGGTTTCCAATTTCCCAGGGTCAGTGTGAAGTTCTAGAATTCTCTTTCTTAACACATTCTGGGTGACGCTGAAGTGTGGGCCAGGGCCCTGGCTTCAGGGCCCCTGGGTCTCACCCGGGCCTGCACGTGGAGAGTCTCTGGGCGCCTGTAGCCATGTGGCACCGGGGCTCCACCCTGAGACCGTGGGGAGCAGAGCTTGGGCTTGGGTGACACTAAAAAGTTCTTGTGAGTCTAATTTAAAGCAAGGCAAGAGGCCTAGCTTTCTGCACAGTGACATTTGCCTGTTCTTCCTTTTTCCTTTAAATTGTCACCCCCCTATCTCTCTCCCTCTTCACCTTCCACCCATTTCCGAAGGCCAGCTCCGCAGGTTCATTGTTCTGTTTGTGTCACATCTCCACCACCTTCCTCACTCCTGCTCGTCTCCCACGGAGCTTGTTTTGGCCTTGTGTCATTTTTTAAAAGGTGTATGTTAATTGTACCCAGGGGTTTTGCCATTGGCATGTTTGGCACGTCACATGTGCATGCATTAGAGCTGAGTCAGATTAACTCCCTTTATTGCTCTCTCTTTCTATTCTCCAACTCCCATTTTCAAAAGCTTTCTCGAGATTCCTGATGCCCTCTTCACACCCAGATGCCGTGGATTCTGGTGTTACTTGCTCTTTGCCATCCTCTCTCTCTCTTTTCCTGTCCCCTGACAGTGCCAAGTGGCTGGCATGTTCTCTCTGTATTTGTAAGTGTATACATGTATGTAACCTACCTATCCATCCATCAGAAACCTGCTATCTATCTATCTGTCTGTCTGTCTGTCTGTCTATCTATCTATTTTAGGTCTAGATTCCATAGATGAGCAAAAGAACCCCATGTAATATTTGATTTTTTGAGCTAAGCGTATCTCTCTCCACATGTCAATCTCCAGTTCATCCATTTTCCTGCAAATTTCTTTATGGCTGGAAAAAAATCACCATTTTCCTTTAAGAATTTTAGAATTGTTGTTATGAAGGTGATGTGCGGAGGTGACCAGGGACGTAATAATGTCATCCCTCCCCTCTCTCTCTCCCAGTTTTTCCCGCCCACCCCCACCCACAAGTTGTACAGCTCATGGTCCACAGTGTCCAGTGAGGACCACCGCTGCATGTGTTCACCCTTGGTCCCCCCACTTCCGTGCCCCCCTCCCTCCCTCACTTCCGTGCCCCCTCCCTCCCTCACTTCCGTGCCCCCTCCCTCCCTCACTTCCGTGCCCCCTCCCTCCCTCACTTCCGTGCCCCCCTCCCTCCCTCACTTCCGTGCCCCCTCCCTCCCTCACTTCCGTGCCCCTTCCCTCCCTCACTTCCGTGCCCCCCTCCCTCCCAAAGGCTGCAGTGCCCTCATACTGTTTCAGCTCCAGTTCTGCTCTGAATTCTGAACCCGCCATCTCTGTGCACAAGTCCCTGAATGTATCTTCCTGTCTCCTACCTGCAGTTTGCAGCTGCTTCCGTGTAGGATATAGGGGTGGGGGCGGTTACTAAGGTGACCGCGGGGGCTGTCCTGGTCACAGGAGGCGCACTCAGAGCGGCCTGGGGTCAGAGCAGGGCTCAGAGCTTAGGCCTCAGCACTCAGGCTCAGGCTCAGGGTTCAAACTCATCCTCAGAGATTTGGGCTCAGACTCAGGACTTAGGGATCAGGCTCAGGCTCAGAACTCAGAGCTCAAGTTCATGGATCAGGTCACCACTCAGGCTCTAGGACTTAGAGTTCAGAGCTTAGGCTCAAGGCACAGGGCTGTGGCTCAGGCTTTGGCCCAAACTCAGGGCTCAGATTTCAGACTTAGGCTCAGGGCTCAGCACTCAGCACTCAGTACTCAGTGCTCAGTCTCAGGGATCCACCCTCTGGCTCAGGTCTCAAGGCTTAAGGCTCAGGCTCAAGCTTTGGCTCAAACTCAGGGCTCATGGCTAAGTAGTCAGTCTTAGGGCTCACGGCTCAGGCACATGTCTCAGGGCTCAGTTTCAGCACTGAGGCTCAGGCTTATATGCTCAAATGTCAGGCTCAGGCTCCACGTTCAGGGCTCAGCACTCAGCCCCAGGTATCCTTACTCTGGCTCAGGCTCAGGGCTTGGGATTCAGGCTCAGGCTCAGGACCCGGGTCTCAAGCTCAGAACCCAGAATCATGCCTAATGTTCAAGGCTCAAGCTCATGGCATAGGCTCAGGTGCTGGCTCAGGGCTCAGAGTTAAGCTTAGCACTCAAGGCTCAGACTTCAAGGCTCAGGGCTCAGGATTTAGGCTCAGGATTCAGAGCTCAGTTTCAGGGATCAGGGCTTTTAGAGCTTTGGCTACTGAACTTTGGAGGAGACTATCATGATGATTACCTCTGGGAAGTGTGTGTGTGTGTGTGTGTGTGTGTGTGTGTATTTTTGAGTAGGGGGGGGCGCCGTATATGGTGCTTTCTCATTCTGAGTCAGTACCATATCAAACAAGCTCTGACAGTCAAAGGTCTTACCTCACATCCCGTGTGGGTGGAAGTTGGAGGGTTTGGACTACGTGTCAGCCAGGCCCCTGAAGATGTAAGCACAGCTCTGAATGCCCCATCCCATGGCCCGGACCAGAGCATGGCAGGCTAGAACTTCCTATAGTCAGCTCCCCCAGGAAGCCACAGCCCGCGGGGCCTCAGGTCATCACCAAGCTGCAGATGGCATCTTGTTTGGCTCACTGAACCCTCCCGAGAGTTCCTTCCCCCAGGTGCCCAAGGTGGTGCTTCACAGGATGGTGTGGCTGACATTTTGCCCTGCTCAGTTCTGAGGGCCAGGCACAGAGAACTGGCTGGGCAGTGCTAGTCTGAGCCATCAAACAGCTGTTGACCTGATAAACAGGAGGGCAAAGGACCCCACCATCACCTGTACAAACAGGCGAGTCAGCTGGCCAGTTGGTGTCTGTTCTGTGTTCCGCTCTGTGCCCTTCAGGGCACCGCCTGGGACTTCCTGACATCTGGGTTAAAGGTATCCCCTCCCACCCTGGCATCTGTCCCTTTCAGCAGGGACAGGAGCACCCCAGCTCTTCCCGTGGGACACCGCCTGGGAGAGGCTAGAGAGTTGGTTGCCCGTGCTGCTAGGGAGGCAGGCGCGCAGTGGGGATAATGTGGGGACACCGTTGAACTCTGGGGTCCTCCCTCGGGGAGGTTCCTGCTAGAGTCAGGACTTGGTATGTCGTGAGCTGTAGGGGCCATTGCGACTTCTACCCTTTTTTCTGGTGGTGGTGAGTGAGCACCAGCTCCTCCCAGCTCTGTGTTCACAGAAAGCTCACGGTGGCTAGGAAGTGCTGGGGGGTGCTTTTTACACCAAGGACATGAGCACAGCACAGCAGCCTGGCTGCCCGAAGCTGGAAGGAATCAGCTCAGAACGAGGCTGAGTGGGCAGAGCTCGAGGGGCAGGGCTGGAGGGGGACAGCGAAAAGACAGGATGGCCTCCTCCTCTGGGGCTGTGCATCTCCGGGATGCCCGAATGTGGGTGACAGTCGTCTGGTGTTACAGACTCGGTGTCTTGGCCTGAGCAGCAGCAAAATGCCAGACGTCTCCCTTCTTTCTTCTCCCACTCAGCAGGCAGTCATCCTGAGAGGGAGAGAGAGGCATGAATACACAGGGCAGGTCTCCCGTGGACCTGCCTCGTCCGACTCTGTGAGCTGGGCCTTGGAATGCAAGGATGAGTCATGCCTTCACTTATTTAAAATGTAAAATAATGACCCGGACAAGCCATACAGACGATTTGGAGGCACCAGGAACCACAGAGGAACGCTACCATATAAAGCCTGCCACCTAAGAATAACCATGCTTAGCATTTCCAAGCTCTTATCCAGGACAGATGTCACACAAGAGGATGTTTGTCCCTGCCTGGACATTTTTAGCTATCTGCCAGAGCATCTGATATGTCAGTGGTGATTGCTCCATGGTCTGACTTGATGGCCGCAGAGCCTGCAGCCTGTGGCTGTGTGTGCAGTGCTGCATGCATGTCTGTTGACTGCATGCAACAGACATGTGTCCAGACCCTGCTAGGCCGAGCTGGACTCTGCTGGACTCTGGGGAGTGAGGCTGTTCCAGGCGCTGGGCCCACTCCACCCTTGTGCTGTCCCAGGAGGTCCACCAGCCGCCACGAGCCCTGGGAGGCTCCACATCCAGTCTGTGCTCTGAGCTTAGGCACCCTGGACTCTTGGTGATGGGGTGGAGGGAGTGGTGTGTGTGTATGTGTGCACGTGTGTGTGCGTGTGCAGGTGGTAGAGGGGTGTGTGTGTGTGGGCATGTATGTATGTGAGTGTGGGTGGTAGAGGGGTGTGTGTATGTGTGTGCAGGTGTGTGTGACTTGTGAAACTCTAGAACTTTTAGCTTTTCCCAGGACCCAGGCAGCTCAAGCGCTCAGGACAGCCTGAAGGTCACAGGAGAGAGAGGCACAAAGCTGGTTAGAGTGTCTGAGGGTCTACGAGGGCCAGCAGTGTTCCTCTGCCAGTGGACTGCTCTGAGCCTCCTGGGCCCCTCTGCACACAGGAAGGGCCTCCCTGTGCCCAGCACCTCCGTCCCCCACTCCACTCCACCCAGGCCCACGGGCTCCATTGTTTCTCTAGCATCAGGGCTGAAGTCCACAGGGCTTCTCCAGGCCTCTGTGGCCCAGGCACAATGGCCTTCACGGGGCATTCTACACTGACTCACCCCAGCTTGCCTCGTTCCCCTGAGAGTCTGACCCCTCTGACCTTCCACGTTGTCCACAACTAGAAGCCAGTTCCTAAAGGCAGAACTATGACCACAGCTAGGACCCAGGCTCCAAGTATCCTGCCTGGCTTATACCTCATGTATGTGTGAGTGAGCTGTCAGGACGAAGCAGCGTGGAGGAGCCCTGTACCTGGACTCCTGGGGCAGGGGGGGCTGCAGTGACACCGCCGTAGCAGAAAGGGTCGGAAGCAAGGGCGGGTAGGGCAAATGCAGCGGATGCTTGCCCAGCTCATGTACACACCTTCTTCAGCCTCCTTCACTGTCTCTTTCCCCAGCCCTGAATAGGTCCAGGGAGTTTGCATCCAGACCTGGGAGCTGCCCGGCCTCGGAGCCAGAGCTGCCCACCCCGCGGTGGTGCAGCTGGGACACAGACTGCCCTGGACTCCAGAAATGCTGCCCCTGGCCAGCGGGCCACCGCTGCACAGCCCCTGTGCCCCAAGGTAGGGCTGCATGGAGGAGGGTCTCTGGGAGCCAGGGCCTGGGGGGAGGGGCAGCACCCCCAGTCACTGGGGAGCCTGCAGCGGGGTGCAGAACAGGGCTTGTTCTTCTCAGATCTGGCCCCAAGATCTTCCGGAGACTAAGGCTCATTCAGGGGGCCTGGAGCGGGAAATGCTCTTGGCAGGCAGACCGACCCTTGCAGGTCTACAGGAGCTCTAGGAGCTGCAAGTGAGCTCATCCGAGCTGTCTCCTGAGGGATGTGTAGCTGACTGCCCCCAAGACATGCCAGAGCCTAGTTGGGTGCCCGTGGCTCACGCCTGTAATCCCAGCTATTCAGGAGGCTGAGATCTGAGGATCACAGTTCAAAGCCAGCCCAGCAGGAAAGTCCATGAGACTTTTTTATCTCCAATGAGACACCAGAAAACCGGAGTGTGGCACTGTGGCTTAAGTGGTAGAGTGATCGCCTTGATCTGAAGAGCTGACAGCGCCCAGGCCCAGAGTTCAAGCCCCATAACTGACAGACAAAAAACACAAAGGGTATCTCAGTGCCTGACTACTTTCTTTCAGAGCCCCATGGGTGAACACCAGACACCTGCCATGCATGTCTGCTGGGCTGCAAAGCTCCATCTGATCAGATGCTTTTCTGGAAGCAGAGATGAAGCAGTATTCAGGGCTAGGGAAGTACATAAAGCCAACATTCATATACATATCACATTCAATACAGCATCATACTCGCATGGAGTTATATAGTCCTAAAGTTATCAACAGCATCAAGTATTTTAATATTGCAATACCAAGTATTAAGTATAGTGTTAATATAGTACATGTGATATAAACAATATTCTATTATGCAACATAAACAATTACATATTAAACTAGTTGATACTAATAGTATAAATAAATATAGTACATAATAGGTTTTTTAAAAACTTTGGTCTGTGTATGTGCCACTATACAGCTTAACTCAAGGCACTCTTGGTTTACTTTTTCTCTCAAGGCTGACGTTCTACCACATGAGCCACACCTCCACTTCCACTTTTGCTGGCTAATTGGAGATTAGAGAGTGTCAGAGACTTTCCTGCTTGGGCTAGTTTTGAACCACTATTTTTAGATCTCAGCCTCCCAAGTAGCTAGGATTACAGGCGTGAGCCACCGGTGCCTGCCTGGCTTAACAGTTTTGTGTCTCAATGTAACATTGCATCCTAATGTGGGTTGAAGGTGCACCTGTACCTTAAGTGCATCTCTCTGGGGGATGGCCTCTGCACTGGCTCTGAGGCCTTTGACCAGTCTCTGTGGTCATCAGGAAGGAGAGAAGGAAGAAGACTGTAGGAAGCTACCCAGGGCCTGTGTTTCATGGGCGGAGGTGCACGCAGATGTGAGGCCTCCTGCCTTCCCGGCCTGCTGTCCTGTGGCTCCCGGAGGCCCTGTTCTGTCCCGATGGTAACTTACCAGCATCCATCCTCCAGGTGCCAGTGCTGCTGCCAAGAGGAGCCTGGTGAGCTGGTACAACATCACAGTGCTGGTGAAAATGGACTTCAAGGACCTGCAGCAAGTGGACCCTGGGTTCCGGAACCACACACGCCTCCTCTACTCCTTAGTGAGATGTAGCCTGTGGTCTCCGGACAGGTTGTGAGGGGCCGAGGGTGGGGACAGGAAGTGGAGGCATTCATGAGTCGTCCCGACCGGAGCCACGCTTGAATTACTCATTGCAAGAGCAGTCTGCAACACGTAGTCAGACGCACAGGACTGTAGCACGTCTCCGACGATGTGCACGTGTTTGCTCAGGTGTCCCTGGCATGGCATGAGGCAGGTGACCCTGGATCATCTTGGATGATCTGTTGCTTAGACAAGAGGGAGGACCAGCGGGGCCGGCTCTGCCAGCCGCTTCTCATCCCCAATCCCTGACGTCCTGCTTCCCACTTTAGGGAGCCTGCACCGTGGGTGGCACAGCACCAGGCCTGCAGCCCAGATCTCTGCCTCTGTCCACTCCCAGAGCATGTAGGAAGCCCAGGCCGGGAGCATGCCCCAGCTGCGACAACCCATTGCATTTCTAGACACTGCCTCTGTCCCCTGGGAGCAGAGCCACCTTGGTGGAGGCCCCAGGCTCTTGGACAGGTCACAGCCATTTAAACTGAACATCTTCAAACACCCAAATCCCCTCAGTCTTTAAAGAGGGAGGGGGGGGAGAGAGAGAGGGAGGGAGGGAGAGGGAGAGGGAGAGGGAGACACAGAGAGACACAGAGAGAGAGGGTATACCGTTTCTTTCTCTGGCCTCAGATCCCTGTGCGTCTACAGGGGGCGCCCTTCCACCATCTGATGCCCTGACTCTGCCTTCACAGGTCACCAGTGCCTTGCAGCCGCTGAACCCTGCTGTCCACTATTTGCACTCGGCTGGCGGGGACACGTTCACCACGGTGTCGTGGCTGCTGCTGGGCCTGCCCCAGCTGTTGCCTGTGGCCAATGTTTCTGCCATGTTGGACGACATGGTGAAGCGGGTCTATGAAGTGATCAACATCCAGGTGCAAGGTGGGTGTGGGCCGAGGACCGGAGGCCAGGTGGACACAGGCTGGGCCCAGCTGCGTGCGCGTGGTGCTTCTGTGTGTTCAAACCGTCAGGACTGGGAGACAGCTATCCTGTCTTGAGCTCAAGCACCAAGGTTGAGGGCTTGTTTTACTCCATCTTGTTCTTTCCTTTCACACGCTTCCATCCTCCTCGTAGGCTTCTCCTGCTATAACGCTGTCACTGCCCTGGGAACACCAGAGCACACAAGAATGCCCCACAGCCCAGTCCTCCGGGCTCCTAAGTTTCCCTCTTGCTTCCTTCCACGCTTGCAAAGACATCTTTGCACCTGTGAGGCTGGTCCTGCACGCTCATGCACAGTTGAACTTGAGCGTGCTAAAGTGCATGAATATGGCCTTGTTTCTGGAAGTAATAAGTGGTTTGGTATTTTGGATCTATGTCAGGATTTGGCACGCTTTAGTTTTGAAAGGGGCAACATAGTCAATCTTTGACTGTGTGGGCCACACGGTCTTTGTGTTAGCTGCTTGGTGCTGCAGTGGTAGCACGGGGCAGCCATGCTGGCATGAGAACAAATGTCTAGGGCCTATGAAGCCAGAGGCAGCAGCACCTGCCATCAGGGATAGAGCTTTGTCCATGCTGCTGCTGCAGGTCGTGTGTGGTAATGCCCAGACCTGGAGCTCAGGAAATGCTCCAGGGACTGCACCCCCCCCTGCAGCCCCCACATGATGTTCTCCAAAACAAAGCTGGGTTGTGCAAGTGCCGACACATGGGGCACTGGTCCCTGGGGCACCCTGGGAGGTGCTAAGCAGGGTTGTTACTAGAGGTGGCCTGATTGGTGATTCCGGGAGACCTAAAGACCTGATTGGGTGATTCGAGGAGGCCTAAAGAGCTGATTGGATGCTGTCATTGCATGGCAATTCTACTATTGGGTGTCTCACTAAATCTCACCCACAGGCAGTGGGAAAGCTGTAATTGAAGAACTATCCCTCCTGGCTAAGAGAAGGGGGCTGATACTTGGTGGATGACACGGGCTTGTTCTTGTGAGGTCTGGCTTTGCCCTGCCCCATCTTGGGCACAGAGAGGCCTTGTCCAAGGCCAGAGCATCTAGGAGATGGTCTCTGTGGGACTGGAGGATAGCGGGCGGTTGCTGCTCCGGCTCCTCCCTTATCATTCATTGACTTATGTTCAGGCCTGTCATTTCCTGGTCACTCCCATCGGGGCCAGCCCCAGTGCCCCAGGCCCCGCCCTGAACGTGGCCGGCCCGCTGTGCGTGCAGCCCCGTGGTTGAGGGATTCCTGCTGCTCTCTCCCCAGATGTGAATGAATGCTTGTACAATGAACTCCACACCTGCTCTGAGGCCGAGCTGTGTCAAAACATGGAGGGCTCCCACCTGTGTGTCCGTGCTCAGGAGTCGTCAACCTCGTCTCCGCAGAGGCCGAACCACACGGACAGCGGTAATGCTGCAGCTCCCTACATACCCCCGGATGATGGGGCGGGTGTTTGTGTGGGGTGAAGCTCCCTACGTGCCCCCGGATGATGGGGGGGTGTTTGTGTGGGGTGAAGACTTTTCAGGCTGCCTAGCCCATGGACCATTCCTTCATTTTTCCCCACATGACTGTCTTTTCACTGTAACTATTACAGAGCATGTCTGAGAGACCGTGAACAACACAGCCATACCATTCTCTCTCCCGTAACCAAAGCAAGGACTCCTTAATATGATCAAGGGTCCAATCTGTTCAAATATCAAATGTCTCATCATTGGCATGATGCTTAAAGTTATTTGTTATTGCTGCTTTGGAAGCACTGGGGTTTAAACTCTAAGCCTCATGATTACTAGGTAGGCTCTCTACAATTTGAAACACATCACCAGCCCTCTTCTCATTCTTTTAGTTATTTTTCCAATAGGGTCTCTTACTTTTGGACCAGGGCCATCCTCAGATCTGGACCCTCTTACCTAGACCTCCGCATAAGTAAGGATTACCAACACACTCCACCAAGCCTGGCTTGTTGGTCGAGATAGGATGTCATTAACTTTTTCCCCTAGCCCAGCCTCAAGTCATAGTTCTTACCATCTTTACCTCTGGAGTAGCTGGGATTACAGGTGTGAGCCACCACACTCAGGCTCTGAAGTTCTTTGGAATTTAAATTTGAATTAGGACCACCAGTTAGCTATGACAGCACTCCGATTATTTCCTTTGCATTCTGGAAGTCTCTCTCTCTCTCTCTCTCTCTCTCTCTCTCTCTCTCTCTCTCTCTCTCTCGCCCTTTGTAACTTGCTGGGAGCCTCTCCCCCTGGCTGGGTGAGCTCCTGGAGGTCTGGATTTCCTGTGGTAGGTCATCACTTCTGGAGTGGAGAGCCTTTCTTTTGTTGTGCCTGGTGAAGTGGGTGGAGACTTATGGAAAGTTTTCAGATGCATAAAAACATCGACAGCAGAGCGAGCACACTCGTGTTTGACACACGGGGTCCTCTGTGCGGGGGTCACCAGCTCCCCTCCATGGATTTGGCACTTTGCTTCTCCCTGGGGACTTGGGGATTCATTCCTGGGACTCTCAGCCCTGTTCTCTACAGGGTCAGCTCCCAGCATCCCCAGGAGCCATGCTGCCATGCTCCTGTGGTCCCAATGGTGCCAGGTGGCACCACCTTTAGCCGCCACCCTTCCTCATCACCTTCTCCCTTTCTAATCCCTCATGTCCAGGTTGGGATTGGTCCACACTGGGATTGGTCCAGGCTGGGATTGGACCAGGCTGGGATTCGTCCAAGCTGGGATTGGTCCACTCTGGGATTGATCCACACTGGGATTGGACCAGGCTGGGATTGGTTCAGGCTGAGATTGGACCAGGCTGGGATTGGTCCACGCTGGGACTGGACCAGGCTGGGATTGGTCTAGGCTGGGATTGGTCCAGGCTGGGACTGAACCAGGCTGGGATTGGTCTAGGCTGGGATTGGACCAGGCTGGGATTGGTCCACACTGGGATCGGTCCACACTGTGATTGGACAGCTGGGATTGGACCAGGCTGGGATTGGTCTACTCTGGGATTGGTACAGGCTGGGACTGGTCCACTCTGGGATTAGTCCAGGCTAGGATTGGTCCACACTGGGATTGAACCAGGCTGGGATTAGACCAGGCTGGCATTGGTTCACACTGGGATTGGTCCACGCTGGGATTGGGCCAGGCTGGGATTGAAATCCATCTCTCAGGTGCACTCTGGGGCTGGGTGGGGAGCAGATCAGAGATTTAGGGCCGAGACACTACCTTCCCTGTCTTCCTCCACACTAACAAAAGGATACCCACTGAGTGCCTGGCCCTAATCTTCACCTTTCCTGAAAGCCTTAGTCCTGTCTCTCAGCCCAGTTGTGGGGAGCTGATGGAGGTAGGGTTCAGGATCAGCACCCTGGGCTGGACAACATTGGCACTGTTGAGTCCCTGCCGGCTGCCTCAGCCACATGGTGACCTCGAGGCCGAGTCCTAGGTTAGGGCACAGAGATGCAGCTGAGTTGCTGGGCTGGAGTTGCAGGGCTGGGTGCCATTCTCTGTGGGAGGCCCACACTGGCCCATTTGAGGTCTGCTGCTATGTCATGTAGCAGCCATTTGACCTCTGTTCCTCTCGGTCTGAGGCAGGTGGAAGGGACAGAGGCACAGCAGGGCATCACGGGTCTGGGAGCAGGCAGGGGTGCTGGGCAGGGCATGAACTAGCCCCACCAGAGACCTCCACAGGCAGCCACGGAGCAGTGTACCTGGGTGTAAGCTGCCAGGGGCTTGGAAGACTCACCAAGCTGACAGTTTCCCTGACAACCAGCAAGCAGTGTGCACTACCCCCTCCCTCACGGGTTGCTGTATTATGCGGGAACAGGACTGATGGATCCGTGTCTCCTCTCCAGTACAGGCTGGGTGGCAGACCCGGCTTCCTACGTTTAGCCAGGGAGCCGTCCCCTGATTTGTCACGGAAGGACGTGGACGCAGCAGTGAAGGACATCCAGTCCCCTGGTCAGCTTGGCCCAGGAAGCCGCCGCGGCGTGCTTCCCTGGCTCTCCCTTAGTCCAGGCTGCGTTTTGCCTGGTTCAGGTCCAGCTGTAGATGTAATTTGGATCCTGTTGTTTTTCCTCTGGCCTTTGTGCCTGTCACACGAGGCTTCCGAGAAGCACCCAGGTCCTCCTAAGGACGATTCTCAGTGGCTCGAATACAAACGTCTTCCACAGCAATGATGTAATGCCCTCCCTGAGTTCCTCCATGCAGCTGTGTAGGTGGCTTCCAACATCCTGTTAGGAAAATGAGAGTTTTTGCTTTGTGCCACGCTTCTGGAGATGCACAGCAGGACCGTGGACAGACAGCAGAGACGCACATCAGGATGTGGACAGACGGCCGACACAGGCAGGGGCACCATGCAGCCCCAATGCACTTCTAATGGCTTGGCCCAGAAGGCAGTTTCCAGATCTGAAATGCAAAGCAAATTCCAATTGCATTATTGCTAAGGGAACTTGCATGTGTTTTAAATTTAGAAACTAATATAAATGAGCAATCTGTTGGATGACTTAGAGGTACAAGTCCTTGGAAAATACTGCACAGATTTCAGATCTTTTTCTTGAGAAATTAGTCACCCAATTAATGACACACAGGGTGGCTAGATTCTTGCACAATTCCATATCCCTAAGAAATACTATTCCAGGAAGGTGGCCAGCGTTTAGAAAGACTGGATCTTTCCCTCATGATCTCCATTTACAGCCGGAACCCACCAGCTTTTCTGTTCACAAGGGGAAGTTTCTTGACCTTATGGACTGGTAGGGCCATGGTGCCAGCTGGGATGACAGGTGCATACTACCATACCCCGCTGTGGGTCAACTAAGACAGGAACTGTGGACCTGGTATCTTTTCTCTTTTCTTTTCTTTTTTTTTGTATGCCAATCCTGAGGCTTGAACTCCGGGCCTGGGCCCTGTCCCTAAGCTATTTTGCTCAAGGCTAGTGCTCAACCACTTGGTCCACTTCCTGCTTTTTAAAGTAGTGTATTAGAGATAAGAATTGAATGGACTTTTCCTGCCAGTCTGTCTTCGAACCACAATTCTTAGATCTCAGCCTCCCCAGTAGCCAGGGTTACAGGTGTGAGTCACCAAGGCTTTTGATTGATAGACTGGGGCCACTGAATGCAGAGTTGCAGATCAGAAAACAAGCTACCTGAAGGCTAGATGCTGTGATTGATTAGCCATGTCTGCCTGGACATAGGCATGGGCAGAGGAGGTCAGGTGTCTGTTCATGCTCTCTAGCTGAGGCCTGAATAGCTGGGAGAAGCAAGGGGACCTAGTTCTGGGGAGGATAGCTATTCATTACCTAATGAACAGCCAGCTACCCCATTTCCTGGTATCCCATGTCATGTCTCACATTGCTTTCCTATCCACCTGATGTCCAGCAAGCTAATTAGAGCAATTAGCCCGGGTCCCTGGTCGCCCACTGAGCATAAGCATGGAGAACTTACTCATCTCCCAAAGCCTCCATGGATTATTTGAGGCCTTGAATGCTCAACATTCTGAGCCCTAGTGTGCAGCATCCCTGGGCTCTTAAGGTGTCAGCCTGCCCTTGATCTCTGGACTTCCAGGAGCCTGCAGACAAGGGTGCATTTCACCCCTTTGAGAGCCCTGTGCTCCATTGGTCTTGGTCTCCAGGGATGCAGGAAGTCCCCGTGCATGCCTGTGTGGAGTCTGGTGGGCCTGGCATGTGTGGCATCTGACCATGGCTGTATCTTGCAGGGGATGTGGTGAACTCCACAGGAAGTGGGCTGTCGACAGTAGCAGGGGTCACTGTCCCAGCTCTAGACAGTGGAACAGCGGTGCCCAGCCCAGAGAGCCTCACATTGTCACCCAGCCCCTGGACCCCGCAGGGCACCCCAGCAACAAGCCAGGCCCAGACGCCAGGGCCCCCATCCAGGAGAGGTGCTGGTGACCTGGGAAGTCATGACAGGAACAGCACAGGACTGGGTGCAGAAGAAGAGGCACCTAGCATGGCTCCAAGCTGGGAGACAGGCCCTGGGAGCACCAGAGTGGGGCTCAGCACCGCTGCCGCCGAGGCTCCAGCACCTCCCCGTGGCTCCCTCCACGGGACCAAGCCCAGCACCCCGGAGGCCCCAGGACAGCTCCTGGGAGACGCCACCATGGAGCTGCCCTCCCCTCCCACTACCAAGGATGCCTCAGGCCATGTTGTGTGGCATACCGGCCTCCCTCCTCGGGAGACTCCCGTGAACGCCGCAACCCTGCAGACCAAGGAGCCTGAGCCTGCCCCCGGCCCGAGCCTGCCCTCGGCCCCCACCCCCGTGCCCCTGCAGCACCCTGCCTGTGGTGAGTCATGCCGGGAATGTCCCCCCTGCCCCCCGCTGAGAGCCACTGGGAACCCCGGGGGCCCCGCGCAGAGCGGTGACCTCAGAGGCTGCGGCTCGGGGGCAGCTGCAGAGCTGTGTGGTCCCTGGTGGCTTCAGACATAGCCCCTCACCGCCTGCCCGCTCCTCCCGCTTCCTGGGGACCCCTGTGTGTCGCAGCTGTAGCGCGAGCCCGATGGGGAAGGAGCCTAGGGGGCGTGCGTGTGCCATGGGGCATTCGGGCCACCCTGTGGAGATTGGGGACCCCAGCCGTCCTGCAGTACAGTGTCCCCCTCCCGCTCCAGTGCTCTTCACCACAGGCTGCTCCAAACCCCAGTTCTCTGCTCCCAGCTGTCTAATTCCACCCGTCCTGCACCGCAGCTGTCTGTACCCTGAGTTGCTTTGCCACCCCAGCTGTCTACCGCCCCGCCCAGCCCCCCTGCTCGGCAGCTCCCTGCCCTCCAGCCGTCTGCACCCCGTGACCACGCCGCTCCCCAAGGACCCACACTGGGTCCAGAGGCTCAGCCAGCCCAAGCCCTGGGGACACCCCAGGGACGAGTCGCTGCTATGTCCAGGAACCGTCTGGGACTCCGGCCGTCACCCAGAGGCCTCTCTGGTGCCTCCCTGTGGACTTGCAGCACTGGGTTTCAAAGATGGGGCTGCTGGGGTACCCTTCCATGGCTTTTCTTGTGCCACTGGACAGTCTGGGGTCCAACCGTCCAGGCACAGAGGCCAGGACTGTCCCATAAGGAGCCAGAACCTCCATATCGGAGTGGCTCTCAAGTCAGCAGTGCCACGGAGGTGGCTTCCTGGGATCAAGAATGAGTTTACATCACGGGCAGACACAAACACAACGGGGAAGTGTTTCTTGTCATCCGAGCAATGGAGTCCTGGGGTACTGTCCCAGGAAGCCAGAGTGGAGGTCCTGACGCGGCCACCATCACGGAGGCACCCCGTCTTTCCCCGGCTGGTGTCCCCCAGCCTCTCCTGCCCCACGTGGGGCATTTGATTTGAGGAAGTGGCAGGGTTCTCTTCCTTTTGCCCAGAGCAGCTGCACTGATGTTAATTTCAGCCTTTTGGCTCCGTTCCCCAGGTCCCGGCTCCATCAGAAGGGTCACGGTTTCCAACGTGAGCAGCACTGGCTTCCACTTGCAGTGGGCAGCAGATCCAGCCCCGCTCCCCACCTTCCACCTCAGCCTGGTCCCTGCTCAGGGCCCCGCGGTGCGTGTGGACACGCAGAACACCAGTGTGGCGCTGTCGAGGCTGGAGCCTGGGGTCCTGCACCTGGTCCAGATCACAGCCAAGGCCTGTGGGAAGGAAGGTGCCAGAACAGACCTGAAAGTGAGGACAGGTGAGAAGCTTCTGGAACATGCCTTATCTTGTTCTTCAGGGGAGGAAGAAAGGGAAGGAACAGGGGACCTGTGGCTCACTGACTTTCCACTGTCCTCTTGGTGTGGAAACTTTTGCACCCAACCAGCAGGACTTGTGGTTCCGGGAATAGAGTGGGGCTGACGCTGAGCAGGGCTGGAGCACCACTCACCTGAGTCCCGGGTACACAGCACAAAAAAGACAGATAAGCTGCATCCTCTCCCTCTGACCTTCCTTGCTCTCAGGAAGTAGAGCAAGGCGTTGGATGCCTGCGGGCGGTCTAACTGCAGAGGTGGGCCAGGCCTTCGGGGGTGGTGGTTGAAATGAGGGAGGACTGAAGCCTGGTAGAGACAGTCCTTGTCAATACTCACACAGAGTTAGATTTTACGAAGAAAAAGAAAAAAAAGACAAACCTTTCCTTGGCAGGTGTTGGTGGCTCTTGCCTGTAATCCTAGCTACTCAAGGGGCTGAGATCTGAGGATAGAGATCTGAAGCCAGCGCAGGGAAGAAGAGTTCATCAGACGCTTTATTTCCAAGTAACCAGCACAAAACTGGAAATAGAGCTGTGACCCAAGTGTCGAGAGCCCGCCCTGAGCGAAAAAGCTCAAGGACAGCACCCAGACCCTGAGTTCAGGTGCCAGTACTGGCACAAAAACAAACGAGCCAGCCGACGAATCCCTTCTGACTGCTCTGTCTCTGCCACCTGTGTATCCAGCGCTAGTCCTCGCTTCTTGGGGAGGGGCCCAAATGCTGGTAATGCTGGGGGACACAGTCCTATGGGGGATGCTTACACGGGCCCACCAGAGATGGCAAGAACAGCTTAGAACTCCTGTGTATAGAGTGAACTTCAAAGAACTAGCTGGCGGTGACCTGGAGAATTAGAGAACAAGACAGGATGCGATGATGCTAACTGTGTGAGCTCACCACCGTCCGGTGAAGAGGGAGACGGGTGAGGCAGGATGGTCTGGCAGGTGGCCTCAGCGTCCCAGCCAAAGCAGGGCTTCCCTGGTGCGAAGGATGCGCTGCGTGGGACACCGTCCTGTGCGCAGGCGCGGGCCCGCGGCCGCTCTCACTTGTGTACCCCTTCTGCCTCCGATGGTTCCCCTGCCACCCTGCCCAGCTCTCAGACGCGATGATAGCAGCAATCCCCCTAGGACAGGGAGTTCGGGGTTTCTGCAGGAAGCAGTAGCAGGGGGCTGTGGGGTTTATTTAAGGCTCTGTGAGAAGCTCTTGAGAGATGAACGTGAAATCCCTAAGAGGCAAACACTGCCTGTCTCCTTCACTGGCCGGAGGCTTCTGGCACAAGGCAGGGCTCTCTCTCTTTCTCTCTCTCTCTCTCTCGGGTACGCGTGCAAACACACACACACACTCAGGGAGGACTGAATGAGGACGGAGCCGGTTGCTTGGGTGGTTCCTGAGCTGTGTTCTCATGCCATGAAGTCCTAGAAGCCCTGCAGAAGACAAGATGCAGAAGAAATGGCCTTGCACACTCAGAGGCAGGGCTGTGGGGGCTGGCTGAACACGCCCTTGTGTCCTGTCCTGGCGCAGGCTCAGAGCAGAGGTCTGGCAGCGTCCCGGGCTGTCAGGCGCAGCTCGCTCACCTGTGGCTCTCGGCCAATTATTTTATACATGTCCCTTCTCCTTCAAAGCTGTCTGGCTTGCGAGTCTCTCGCCTGAACACCTGTGCCCAGGGAATGCCCCCGGAGCGGGGACAGGGAAAGAACACAGTGCCGAGATGGCTCTGGAGCCCCCAGAAGCGTTTCCCGCTGTGTTCAGTCTGTCACACGTCCTCTGGAGCCTGGTGCACGTGTCTATGGACAGCAGTCCTCCATCCCTCTTTCTGGAGGGCAGGTCAGCCTCCTCCTGCCGCTCTGTCTCCAGCATGGAGGTACGGTCGGTCATCAGATGGAAAGGTAGCCCGTGTGGGTGGGGGCCTGACACATGGCGTGTTCTCCACCCTGCAGCGGCCCAGAAACTCCGTGGCAAAGTCAGGATAGCAAACGTCAGCTACTCTGAGGCCCTCGGCAACACAAGCAGCCAGGAGCACCGGGACTTCCTGGGGCGCTTCCTCAGCACGGTGAGTGGGGCCCTCGGTCCTCGGCTCCTGTGTGGACATAGAGGCTGGAGGGAAGTTGGAATCCTTGATGCATCCGACCAAGAATTAGACTTGCAGGTCCTGTGGCCACCCTGTGGTGGCCGAGACTGAGGTCCAACAGGACAGGAGCAGCACAGATACACCTGAGATGGCAGACTCACCTTTCCCCTGCATGCCAACACATCACAGAGAGAGCCAGCCAAGGGGGGACATCCAGAACACACAAAACACTTAGAGAATTAACCACCCAAAGGACACACAGTGCATCAACAAGTAGGCCAATGAACCAAACCGCTCACAAGTAGAAATACAAATCCTTAGCTATAAAGAAGTATAAATCAAAACAACATTGAAATTCCATATCGCTGCAATCAGAATGGTTGTCATTAAAAAAAGAAATGACAGATGGCCAGCAAGCGTGCAGAGGGAGGAAGCCCTCCCCCTCCACACACTGTGGTGGAGATGTAAATTAGCGTAGCCACTATGGAAGTCAGTAGGGAGGCTCATCAAGAGCCTGAAAATAGAGCTATCATAGGACCCTGCCGTGCTTCTTCCAGGCATATATCCAAAGGAATGGAAGCCAGCACACAGCAAAGATCCGGCGACATATAACAGTGTTCTTCACAACAGCCAAACCAGGGAATCAGCGTAGGTGCCCATCTGCTTAATGTGCACACAGTGAAATTTTGTTCCGTCACAGGGAATGACACGTGCTGCTAGTGAGGTCCTGTGTCTTTGTGGGCATTCTGACGCTCATGGGCTGGAATGGAATAATGTAGCATAGGATGTATCCGAAGGGGTGGGATGAAAGCAAGTCTTCTCAGAGGCTGGGGCTGCCTGTGCTGACAGGGATGCGGGAGAGGCTCACAGAGGAAGCAGCCCGGGGCCAGGCACAGAGGGGGGATGGAAAGGAAATGTTCTGCACTGCAGGAGCAAAGGATGGTTCTAGAAAAAACAAAGGGGAAAGGTGGTCTTCCTCCCCTTGATACCTTCCATAGCGCAGAGCTGAGAGAGGTAGGTAGGCTCTGATTCCTTTGTGAACCCGTTGTTCTTGGCCTGGTGAGATGGGGTCCCGCTCAATCCACAAACATGTCTGCAACTGTCTGCTGGGGACGTGAATAGAGACACGGGTTACAGGAGCAGGGACCCAGGGACAGGGTGTCCAGGGACAGGAAGTGGAGGACAGGGATACGGGGACAGGCTGCTTCCTCGGCAGGGTATGGTGACAGGAGGTCTGGGGACAGGGGACGGGGGACAGCCCCCTTGCCAGCACTGCAGACACTGCCAGGCCTCCGTGGAACACTCCTGGGCTTGGCAGATGGACGCAGGCTCTTGGGTGCTCCGTGGCTCTTAGGTGCGGGAGCCCTTGCCAGCCATGTTGCGCCAGCACATGGACGCCGGCGGGATTCGACTGAACGTCACCAGCATCACCAATGGCAGCGTGGTGGTGGACTTCACCCTGCTCGTAATCGCAGACGTGGACATCCGGGAGGTGTCCGCTGCGTTCCTCAGTGCCCTTCACAACGGGTCTCGGCTGGAGGTGGTGAGAGGCGACACCTTCATACAGGGTACGTGGAGGCCGGGCCTGAGGGCCACCTCCCCCAGCTCCGGGAGCAGTGGCAGCAAGGGCTCAGCCGCTGTGGTTCTGGAAGGTGTCCCAGGGCCTCGCGCAGGGGTTGTCCCCGGGATCACTGGAGAAGAGGTGGCACCAACGGAGCCCTCCGCTCTGTCCTTTGGCTACTGTGGTTGCTGTTAGGGTTTAGGGGATGGAGACCCCCTTCGGGTGGACGCCCCCCATCCACCCCTCCCTGGTCACTCTGTGTACCCTGGGCAGCTGACTTGCCCAGGCATGGCTTCCCAGAGCCTGACAAGCAGTAGAAGAGAAAGGCTGGGAGGAAAAGGCCATTAGATTCATTTGTCATCTCATGTTTTAAAATAAATGGCAAATGGCTTATCATTACACATATAAAAATGGGGATTTTATAATGAGGGGTTAGTGTTTTCTTTTGGGGGGAGGGGATGAGAAGGATTTCCCAAGGAAAGTCAGATTTCTAGAAAAAAGCTGAAGTACTTACCTACATAGAAATAGAAGTCTTTTGTGTCAAGCAAAATTAAAGCACCATTACAAACAAAAACAGAAAGTTTATTTTCACTGCTTTGATGAGGAATGGCTACCCTAACTAAATATGTAAAAGATGACAAGTACGGGGAGGGCAGGAGATAGAATTTGCTCACTTCCCCTGGAAACTGGCTTAGCAGGCCATGTCAACACTTTCCAAAGGATCTGTCCATTTTGGGTCTGAGAAAGTGGACCTGTTTGGAGCACAGTTTATGGAAGGTATTCACCCCCAGTGCTGCTTTAAGAGCAAAGTGTCAGAAATGGCTGCGGTCGAGTTGTAGGCCCTGCCCATGAGGGAACGCAAGGCTCTGTCTTCTACGCGCTGCACAGATTACGACGAGTGTGCAAGCATGGAGCACGACTGTGTGCCGGGGACGGCCTGCCACAACACCCTCGGGTCTTTCGCCTGCAGCTGTGCAGGAGGAGCCTCCAACTTCCACGTGGAATTTTCCGGAAGACCCTGTGAAGGTAGGAACAGTCTCATAATCCTTTTCTGTAATACTGGCCCATAATCTGATCTCTTACAGACTTTTGTCGAAATGAAATCAGCATATCTTTGTCCTGGATAAGTTTCCTGTATGTGTATACGTGAACACATACACACGGGTAAATGCACGGGTAGGCGGTGTGCACGTGTGCTGGAGTACACCTGCGATGCTTTCATGTGTGTGTGCGCATCGGTACTGTGTGCTTCTGGCTTAGTGTCCACGGCCCTCCCTCGTCTCCCACATACGTTGGAGTGAGAGATGGTAGATTGCACGGGGGTCGCTGTGTGTGGCCGTGCGGGGGAAGCAGGAGGCACCAGGATCAAGTGGTGTCAGGGTGAGCGTGGTCACAGACGGCTTCCTGGACGAGGTGTTTGGGGACTGGCCGTCAGGGTTAGTGAGGGCAGCACCTGGTAGGGTGGTTGGGGGTGAGGACTGGAATGAGAGCGAGCTCCTGTGGGGGGGTCCCCACAGACAGTCTGCCTGGGAGATTTGGGCAAGATGGTGGAGAGCCTGAGACATAAGATGGCGGAGGAGGGGAGGAGTGGGGGGGGTGAAGGGAGGTGAGCCCCAGGGCTGGGGGGGCTGAGCTGGGCCTGGGAGCTGCATCCTGGTGACCTGAGGGGCCTCTGAGGACAGTCTGAAGCCTCAGTAGAGGCCCCTGGACTTGTAGAGGCCGAGATGGGGCCAGTGTTGAGGCAGGCGGGAAGCCAGGGCAGGTGTGAGACCCCAGGAGTGCTGAGAGGCCTTCTCAGGGCCCCAGCTTAGAGACTGGTCCTGGGGACTGGTGATTGGCCACCCACAAGCCTGGCACAGCCCAGCCGGTGTGGACCCACGGCAGTTGGCAGCATGTGTGTAATAGGGCTCAAGTGAGCAGTCCGTGTCTGCCCCCAGCATGGAGGGCCTCTCCAGCTGGGGCCTCTCCAGAGGCTGCCCTGACCCACTCCAGCCCCGCCCCGAGCCCCGCCCCAGCCCCGCCCCAGCCCAGCCCCGCCCCAGCCCCAAGCCCCACCCCGGGCCCCGCTCCCGCACCGCCCCGCCCCAGCCCCGCCCCCGCCCCGCCCCCAGCCCCGCCCCCAGCCCCGCCCCAGCTCCATCCCGAGCCCCACCCCAGCCCCGGCCCCAGCCCCGCCCCGGCCCCGCCCCAGCCCCGCCCCGAGCCCTGCCCCGAGCCCCGCCCCGGCCCCGCCCCAGCCCCGCCTCGAGTCCAGCCCCAGCCCCGCCCCAGCCCAGCCCCGCCCCAGCCCCGAGCCCCATCCCGGGCCCCGCCCCAGCCCCGCCCCAGCCCAGCCTCAGCCCAGCCCCGCCCCAGCCCCGAGCCCCATCCCCGGGCCCGCCCCCAGCCCCACCCCCAACCCCGCCCCAGCCCCGCCCCAGCCCCGCCCCGAGCCCCGCCCCAGCCCCGCCCCGAGCCCCGCTCCAGCCCCACCCCGAGCCCCGCCCCAGCCCCACCCCCATCCCCACCCCGAGCCCCGCCCCAGCCCCACCCCAGCCCCGCCCCGAGCCCCGCCCCAGCCCCGCCCCAGCCCAGCCCCGCCCCAGCCCCGAGCCCCACCCCGGGCCCCGCTCCCGCACCGCCCCGCCCCCAGCCCCGCCCCAGCTCCATCCCGAGCCCCACCCCAGCCCCGGCCCCAGCCCCGCCCCAGCCCCGCCCCGAGCCCTGCCCCGAGCCCCGCCCCGGCCCCGCCCCAGCCCCGCCCCGAGTCCAGCCCCAGCCTCGCCCCAGCCCCGCCCCAGCCCCACCCCCGAGCCCCACCCCAGCCCCACCCCAGCCCAGCCCCAGCCCCAGCCCCGTCCCCAGCCCCGCCCCCCGAGCCCCGCCCCAGCCCCACCCCCCAGCCCCGTCCGAGCCCCACCCCAGCCCCGCCCCAGCCCCGCCCCGAGCCCCGCCCGTGTCTTTGTCTCTCCGCCTCCTGCAGGTGCCTCTCCGGGCAGTGCAAGCCAGGTCCCTAGTCCGGAGCAGCCTCTCCCCCCAGCGGGTACCAGGGCAGGGGCTGTGCCGGGCGCCAGCTCCGCGGCCCAGGGCCGGCCCCCCCGGCTGACGCTGACGGAGGCGGTGGACGTGAGCTGTGAGGTGGAGAAGGTGGCCCTGGCCGTGCAGAGGCGCTTCCTGCAGCAGGAGTCCATCCCCGAGGCCTCCCTGTACCTGGGGCAGCCCTCCTGCAACGCGAGCAGCAGCAACGCCTCCCACGTGTTCCTGGTGGCCGGCTGGGGCGAATGTGGGACGCTGGTGCAGAGTGTAAGGCCGGGGACTGGAGGCCGGGGCGGGGCGGGGGTGGGCGCAGCTGTGAGCCATCGGGAGGGACCCCAGGGTGGGAGGGGGCACATCTGACAGGGGGAGTGAGAGGCGGGACCCTGGGCTCCAAACACGGGACCCCAGGAAAGGCAGAGTCCAGCCTGTACCCCTGGATTGGGAGGGAGAGGGAGGGCCCCCGCTCTGTGCGTGGAGGGGCTCTGTATGCTGTCCCTCGGGAGCTGCTGTATTGAGGTCCGTTGAGCCCCTCAGGCCCCAGGGCCTGGTGTGGAAGGTTGTCTGTGGGTCACAGGAGTGGATCCCCCTCCCGTCCCTCAGCGTCCTGCCTGCCTGAGCACTGTCCTTGCAGTGGAGGGGGGAGGAGAAAAGGCATCCTTCGTGAGTTCAGCCAGTGGCAGGCATTGGGGTGCACAGTTGTCGCCTGAGGGAGCAGGCCACCCTGCTGTGGGACTCTGGGTGCTGAGATCCCAACCCCGGGCCATTCCCCAGGGGCTGAGCGGGGTGCTCCGCCAGGCCAGGGAGCTCCAGGCTCCTGCCACCCTGCCAGCTTCGTGCAGGGAAATGGCGCCATTCAGGAATGAGGTCCATTCTAGAAAGGTGTCTGTGGAGTGAGGAGAGAGGACGCGGGTGTGGCCATAAGCAGGCTGGTGACCCCTCACCAGCCTGGGTTAACCCTCACCTGGCAGGGTTAACCAGGAGGAGTGTAGACGTGGCTCCGGCCAGGTGGGCGGCTGGCTCTGGATCCCACCTGCAGGGGTGACAGCTGGCCAGCGGCTGGGGCCAGGAGGGCACCAACACCAGGGAAGCTGAATGAGAGCCAGCCATTCCTCACAGCAAGACTGGAGCTCGGGTTGCCTGGTCTTTGTCTCTGAGGGCCTATGGGCTTTCTAGGGAAAAGGGGGAGGGGGGTAGGTAGGGAATGGGACCTGTCCCCTGTTCACCACAAGACGGGCTTGATTGACCTCCCTAGTGCCCAGGTCCAGGTGTCATTGGCACATTTAGGGCTGAGGCTCAGCTGGGTCCACGGGGGCCAGGGCCAGGTGATGCCCTTGGCTCGGTCTCCCAAGCCCTTGAGGTTCCCCGGGGGGGGGGCTTTCTGACCCCCTGGCTGGAGTCTTGGGCACGCTTGGGACTGCTGGGCTGCAGATGGAACCTGGAGGAGTGGCGTCCGGAGGAGAGGCTCAGGCTCCGGCACAGCTGGGAAGCAGATGGCATGAGAGGGCAACTTGGCAGAGGGAGTGGCGGGGGTAGGGGACCCGGCCTGGGGTGCCTGGCAGATGGGTGTCCGTCCAGCGTGACTGGCGCCTCTCAGAGGCCGGGGCTCTTGGGCAGTTTCTGTCTGAAGAGGCAGCAGAAGCCACCAGCCTCCCTTCCCCACTCTAGTCCCCAAAAGTCGCTCGTGGGCACCCGTGGCTCACGCCTGCAACCCTGGCGACTCAGGAGGCTGAGATCTGAGGATCATGGTCTGAAGCCAGACAGGGAAGATAAACACAAGAGACTCTTGTCCCTCCTTAACAAGCAAAAAGCTGGAAGTAGAGGCATGGCTTGAGTGGTAGAACACCAGCCTTGAGCAAAAAAGCTAGAGGTACCCAGGCCCTGAGTTTAAGCCCTAGTATAGACACTCTTCTTCTCTCTCTCTCTCTTTCTCTTTATTTCTTTCTTTTACTTTTCTTCCTTCCTTCTTTCCTTCCTTCCTCTTTCCCCCTTCCCCTCTCTCTCTCTCTCCCTCCTTCCCTCGCTCGAGCCAGTGACTCATATTTGTAATCCTAGTTCTTTAAGAGGCTGAGCGTAGAAGGGTCTTGGTTTGAGTCTGGGCAGAAAAGTCTGAGAGAGCAGCTCCCCAAGATAGAAAAAAACAGGGCTGGAGGCATGGGGCATAGAGTGCAAGTCTAACAAGCATGAACCCCTGAGTTTAAATCCTAGAAACACACGCACGCACATGTGCACGTACACACACACACACACACTCACACACTCATGCCTGCACGCGAGGTCAGTGTCTGCCCATTGTGCCCAGGGTGCCCACCACCCAGGGTGCTCTGCAGGGTGACGGTACCTCCGTGGGGGCTGGCACGGAGGGCTCAGTGGGAGAGTGGGGAGCGGTGTTTCTCTGCATCTCCCCCGCTGGAATCCGCAGGCTGACCGGCTGACCGGCTGACCGGCGTCTGCAGCACGGGGCCCGCCTGCTCGCTGGGCGGCGTCTGCCTCCCTGGGGAGCACAGGCCCCAGGCAGCGGCGGAAGCGGCTCCTGTGCTGTCTGTGGCACTGACACGGGGGTCCACTTGACTTCAAGCTCTGCACACGTTGGGGGTAACACCCAACCCCGAGAGTGCAGCCCACGGCCGGGCCGGGGGGGAGAGGAGGGCTCCTGGGGCCGAGACGCCCACTCGCGTCCCCTGTGTGCTCAGAACATGACAGATACTGTGGTGAGGACCACGCTGAGGAATGACCTGTCCCCAGAGGGCGTCCTCCACCACCCCAAGATCCTGAGCCCCATCCTCTGCGCCTTCCGGAACAACCTGCTGGCGTCCTCAGGCTACGCGCCGCAGTGGGGGTGAGCGGGGCCCGGCTGCCCCTCCCCAGCCCTGGCCCCTCCCAGCACCTTCCTTGTGGACCCGTTAGGAATTCACCTGCTTGACCCCTCTCTTGGAGCCCGATTATACAAATGTGGACGGTGGCCAGGCCTCAGTCCTCGGTCAGGTTACCTTAGAGAGGCTCAGAACCCCTAGCGGATCAGCACGCTTCTTGGGAGCATCTGGGGGGGGGGAGAACGGGAAGGAGGGGCGCAGAGACAAGCCTGTGACGCTGCTCCTTCTTGCAGGGTGTACACCATCGTTGAAGACCTCCACGGTGCCGGGAACTTCGTCACTGAGATGCAGGTGTTCATCGGTGATTCCCCCATCCCTCAGAATTACAGCGTGTCTGCCAGTGATGACGTCAAGATCGAAGTGGGGCTCTACAGGCAGAAGAGCAACCTCAGGGTGGTTCTGATGGAGTGCTGGGCGACCCCCTCGAGCAACGCCAGGGACCCGGTCACCTTCGGTTTCATCAACAATAGGTAGGGGGCTCGGGCGGGCACTGGCGCGTGCCGCTTGGAACACCAGGCAGAGGCGGGTCTGGCCCTGGGTCTCAGGCTTGGGGAGGCGCCTGAGCCCCGCCTGCAGGGCCGGCTCCAACTCGGCATCGGCACTTCCCCTTCCCAGCTGCCCCATTCCCAACACCTACACCAGCGTGATCCAGAACGGAGACTCGAGCAAGGCCCAGTTTAAGCTGAGGATCTTCTCCTTCGTCAACAACTCCATCGTCTACCTGCACTGCAAGCTTCGCGTCTGCCTGGAGAACCCGGGAGCCACGTGCAAGATTGTAAGTGTCCGGCGTGACCGTAGGCTGATGCACAGGCCTTCTGCTCAGCGGGCAAAGCCGCTTGGCCAATGGAAGCCAGGGGCTCTGGCAGGGCTAGTGGGGTGTTTGGGACTTGACTATGGCTAAACAACGTATCATTGATACCAAACTTCTATCAGTAGCTCAGTCCTTGCTTTAGCTGGTACTTGAACGAAGGGCCTGGTGCTTTAGCTTGGCCTTTTTTGCTCAAGGCTAGCAGCACTCTACCACTTGAGCCACAGCTCTATCTCTGGCGTTTTGGTGGTTCACTGGAGATAAGAATCTGGGCTCTCCTGGCACAGGCTGGCTCTGACCTTCGATCTACAGATCTCAGCCTCCTGAGTAGCTTGGATTATAGGCGTGAGCCTCTGTGGCCTGCTTCTAAGTCCTCCTAGAGGCTGCTTTGTGCCTGGCGGCCTCACGGCTCTTCCTGATCACCTCCCCAAGGTAACTGGTAGGGTTTTTAGGAGAACACAAATTACCTCAGTTAAGATGATTTTTTTTTTTGTAATGTAGGTGGAACATGATCCAAGGCCAGCTCCTTTCCCGCTCCTACTGGAGGCGGGGGGAGGGGGGCTGGAATCATCTCCCAGCTTGAAATTCTCTCTTCAGTGCTGAGGTTTTAGGCTATTCTCGGTGCTGCACACACGAATGGGAAGCAATTGCGTCTCTGTGCTACCTGGGGCAGGGCTCGCAGAGCTCGCCGGCTCTTCACTCACCATCCGCCTGTGTCAGTGCCATCTTTGTTCAGCTCCCGCGTGTGCATTCTCCTGTGCCCTTCCACGGTGTGACACAGGCCAGTGAATCTGAATGACAGCAACTCATTTGGTTGGTGTCCCCTTTCTCAAAACGATAGGTGTTCCTGCCAGGCCAGGTGACCCCGTCCCGGCCATGAGGGGACCCTGGAACCTGCAGCCCAGTCCACAGGGTCCCCAGGCTTAGAAAGAGGGCCAGCAGCCAGGCCCTGTCCCCCCCACCCCCGGGAGCCGCCCGCTCTTGGGCTCTGGCCAGGCTTCATCCTGGCCCTGTGCATGGTAGAGGCCTCCCAGGCTCCACTGAGAATAGTGTTGCATTTCCAGAGCTGCTGGGACCACAGCTACTCTAAGTCTCTCCACAGGGAGCCTGGAAGCAGAGGCCTCATCGGCCTCCGGCGGCCTCGGCCCCGGCCTCGCGGGTGCTCCCCCCGCGTCTCCACACTGTGGCCACCTTCTGCCTTTTCATAAGGACCTGGGCACTGTGGATTAGAGCCCGAATGAGCTCTTTCCAAAAGAGGTTATGGTCCCAGGGGTGGGGTGCAGGATTTGGTCCCAGGTGTGGGTGTAGGATTCTAATGTCTTTTTGGAGGACACAGTGTTACCTGTCTATAGTGAGCAGGTTGCTCGGTGCACTGCGCCAGGAAGCTGTTTTTGTGAGAGACATTCAGAGGAGCAGGTGCCCGTAGTGGCCTTTGGGCCAAAACAGACTTGGGCCAGAAGGGTACTGGGCCAGCTCTCTATTCTGCAGCTCTTTGTGCCCAACTCCCTCCCTCCTGTCCCCTGGACGTGTCTCACACAGACGGAGTCCACTGTCCAGACTCTGTCGGCTTGCCTGTCTAGACTCAAGCATCCGGTGACTTCGCAGAGGATGGAGGGGTCTCCCGGGCTAGCGATCGCCCCTGGGATCGAGTTAACCCATGAGCACCCTTAGGACTGATTTTGAGTTTCTCTCCTTGAACACCCAGAGCTGCCGCAACTTCCGGTCGGTGAGCAACAGTGAAGACTCTGAGGTCTTCCAGATGTCCTGGGGGCCCCTCATGCGGTCTGAACGTGAGTCCACAATGGATCTAGCAAAGAAAAGATCTCAGCCATGACGCCGCCAGCCTTTGTAAACTGCAAAGAGTGGGCTGCCAAGTATGGGGAGCTAGCTAGATCCTAGTAGAAGGTGCTGGCTCCAATACTGCTCGAGAGCCAGCATCTAAGGGAAGAGCCAGCACCAGCGCCAGGCAGGTACCTCTCGGCTGACCCCTCCGAAGCGGTTCTGTGGTCAAAAGCTCGGCCCAGAGAGGCCGGAGCGGGGCTGATTAAGGCGATGCTTTGAGCCTCACCCTGGGGACCCCTAGAGTTGTCTGACCCTGAGAGAGCACATCGAGTGGAGAGGAGAAGAAGAAACTCCCGCGGCGACAGGCAGTGTCAGGTTCTCTGTGTGCACACACACGTGCACACATGTGCGTGTCTGCCAGTGCTCACAAATATAGCTGTTGTATTCAGAATATGCCAAATGCCCAGCATTTCTGTGCTCCTCAAAGCAAAACTTCCAACAGCCACTCGCATTCCATGCATTTGCGAAGTCAGTTCACTAGGAAAACACATTCTTTTTTTTTCTCTTTTGAGATTTCAAGTCTTATATTTGATACATAGTATTAATCTTCCAAAGAAATGGGCAGCATTTATTTCTGTATTTTTAAAAAATATCCCAGACTACTAAAAATAAGCAAAGAGTTTTGTAATTGCAGACATGTTCCCATATATAAAACAAAAGCTAGATCAAACCAGAAGTCTTGGGTCTTTTAATGAGTCTTAGGTAAAATAATAAACTGAGATCCTACCCATTTTCTGCCAGATATAAGAAATAAGACTTTCCTCCTCCACTCCTCCCCCTCCTCCTCCCCCTCCTCCTCCCCCTTCTCTTCCTCCTTCTCATCTTCTTCTTCCTCTTCTTTTTCTCCTCCTCTTCCTCCTCATCTTCTTCTTCCTCTTCTTTTTCTCCTCCCCCTCCTCTCCCTCCTCCCCCCTCCTCCCCCTCCTCTGCCTCTTCCTCTTCTTCTTTTCTTCTCCTCCTCCTCCTCCTCCTCCTCTTCCTCCCCCTCCTCCTCCTCCTCCTTCTTCCAGCCAACATTTTATTAACGCGCTGTGTGAGAGGTTCATTCCAGAGCGCTGGTGTGCCGCTGGCCGTGGGGCCGTGGGTTCACACCCTGTGCCCTCTCCTGCGCAGGCTCCTCTCCCTGTGTGAAGCCGGGCCCCAGGGCCGGCCTCATCCTCCTCATCGTGGGGGCCATCCTCGTGGTAGTGGGGGCTGTGGCGGCCTTCCTGATCACACGCTACCAGAGAATGACCGGCAACTACAACCTCAAAGCCCAGGCGGGCAACTTTGGCTACCAAGTGTTCTACGAATAGTCATCCTGCCGGCCGGCCGGAGGTGGGTAGAGGTGAGTGTGTCTGCGGCCCAGCTTTGCCTGCCGCCATCACGCCAGCCAAGGGCAGCTCTGGGCCCGCCACGGTCCCGTCTCTGCCCAGGCACGTAGGACCTGATCCCCTGCTCAGGGCAAGTGTGTGCGGCTGGCGCGCCTGTGGATGGCTCCTGCAGCAGTGATGGTTTCCGTGGATCTACGGGGAGCCACGCAAGCTCCCCAAACCCCAACGCTCCTCCCCACTGGCTGGGCAGCTTCAGTTTCCCCATTCATGGCAGAAAGCGTGTAACTTCCGTGCAGTGGCGGGGATGGTCTGAGGGCCAAAGCAGGAGCCTCTCCAAGCTCAAGTGCCAGATCATTCCAGCCAGGGCTCGGCCCCTCACAGGCCTGTGTGGGGGCTGTGCTTTAAGATGTGGGGGGATACTGGGTCGCAGGGGCTGGAGACAGTCTACTCCTGCTGTGTGCAGTCTCTGCGTGTGTGGAGTCCTGTCTTCCGCTGTGCCACACCACCTGTGCCCGGCGGGAACACCTGGTGTGTGGTGAATGCTTGGTGTGTAGCTGTGCTGTCCTGCTCAGGAGTGTTAGTGTGTCCGCACGTGCACAGGGCACGGGCAGTTTTAGACTGCCGTGGTCTGTGCTCAGGCAAGCCTGCGTGTGGAGTGCTTGCACACGAAGGATCTGGGGCCTTCTCCTGCCTCCCGCGCAGCCTGACCCACTCCCCTCCCCCATGCAGGTCACAGCAAGCCAAAGCTCGATTTTCAGCGGATCGACACGACTCCATGGTACACGGTGCGCTCAGGGCCGGGCAGCCTCTGCCACCTCCCTCCCGGAGGCCTCCATCCCGCAGGCCCAGATCGCCCGGCAGGTGGCGGCTGCTGGCGCGGGCGCGGGACCCCGTGCTCCTGACCCTGCTGTACAGCTGCCCTCTGGCTGCGCAGCCCCTCCCCTCCACAGTCCCAGTACACATCTCCAAAGGCGCCACATGGCTTCTGGAGCAGATCTCTGACAAGTCTATTGCTAGCCAGGTGCCGGAGGCTCACACCCGTGACCCTGGATACTCAGAAGGCTGCTTCTCCAGGCAGGAAAGGCTGGGAGACGCTTGTCTCCTATCAGCCACCCAACAGCCAGCAGTAGAAGTGTGGCTCAGGTGGTAGAGCACCAGCCTTAAGAAATAAAGCAAAGGGACAGTTCAAGTACTGAGTTGAAGCCTCAGTACTGGTGTGCGTGCACACACACACACACACACTCACACACTCATTCACACACACATCCTCTGCTAAAGATATATTTAGTGCAATCTGACTTTCCTACTGACTCAAACACAACGCTATTATATGGAGATCTTCCTGAGAAGTGAAACCACAGGACACACACGTGTGCACCTCTCTTCCGGGTTCCCGGCACGGTCATAGCCACCTTTCACATAATCTCACTTCAAGGAAGGTGTGATTTGCGCATGGCAACCAGAGAAACCACACGGGCGGGGGAGGGGCTACAAGCTGAACATCATCACCCGAGTTAATGAGAAACACAGTGCCGTGCTCTGCAATGTCCTCTGCTATACCACAGGAGCAGATACTGTGATATACGTCATTTCATGCAAATTAGAATTGACTAGAGGGCTAACACCTGAAAGTATATTTTCCCTTGATGAAGTTAGAATTGCAACAGTGTCTTAGTTTGTAATTCATGAGATTAACTTTTATTAAAGTACTTGACATCATTCCTATAAAATCTTGAGGAAAAGGAGTATTTTGGTTTATGGGATGTTCTTAGAGTAAGAATGACAATAAGTAGCAGGTTTGGATAACTGACATTGAACAATAAATAGCGTATGACACAAGAGTGCCATGCCTGCGCTTCTTCTCTGTGAGGTTGGCAGCAGTGTGACGCCTGCACTTCTTCTCTGTGAGGTTGAAAGCAGTGTGACGGCTGTGGTTCTGTGTGAGGTTGACAGCAGTGTGACGGCTGTGCTTCTTCTCTGTGAGGTTGACAGCAGTGTGACGGCTGTGGTTGTCTGTGAGGTTGACAGCAGTGTGACGGCTGTGGTTCTGTGTGAGGTTGACAGCAGTGTGACGGCTGTGGTTCTGTGTGAGGTTGACAGCAGTGTGACGTCTGTGGTTCTGTGTGAGGTTGACAGCTGTGTGACGGCTGTGGTTGGCTGTGAGGTTGACAGCAGTGTGACAGCTGTGGTTCTCTGTGTGAGGTTGACAGCAGTGTGATGGCTGTGGTTCTCTGTGAGGTTGACAGAAGTGTGACGGCTGTGGTTCTTCTCTGTGAGGTTGACAGCAGTGTGACTCCTGTGGTTCTCTGTGAGGTTGACAGCAGTGTGACGGCTGTGGTTCTCTGTGTGAGGTTGACAGCAGTGTGACGGCTGTGGTTCTCTGTGTGAGGTTGACAGCAGTGTGATGGCTGTTGTTCTGTGTGAGGTTGACAGCAGTGTGACGGCTGTGGTTGTCTGTGAGGTTGATAGCAGTGTGACGGCTGTGGTTGTCTGTGAGGTTGACGGCATTGTGACGGCTGTGGTTGTCTGTGAGGTTGACAGCAGTGTGACGGCTGTGGTTCTGTGTGAGGTTGAAAGCAGTGTGACGGCTGTGGTTCTGTGTGAGGTTGACAGCAGTGTGACGGCTGTGCTTCTTCTCTGTGAGGTTGACAGCAGTGTGACGGCTGTGGTTGTCTGTGAGGTTGACAGCAGTGTGACGGCTGTGGTTCTGTGTGAGGTTGACAGCAGTGTGACGGCTGTGGTTCTGTGTGAGGTTGACAGCAGTGTGACGTCTGTGGTTCTGTGTGAGGTTGACAGCTGTGTGACGGCTGTGGTTGGCTGTGAGGTTGACAGCAGTGTGACAGCTGTGGTTCTCTGTGTGACCTTGACAGCAGTGTGATGGCTGTGGTTCTCTGTGAGGTTGACAGAAGTGTGACGGCTGTGGTTCTTCTCTGTGAGGTTGACAGCAGTGTGACTCCTGTGGTTCTCTGTGAGGTTGACAGCAGTGTGACGGCTGTGGTTCTCTGTGTGAGGTTGACAGCAGTGTGACGGCTGTGGTTCTCTGTGTGAGGTTGACAGCAGTGTGATGGCTGTTGTTCTGTGTGAGGTTGACAGCAGTGTGACGGCTGTGGTTGTCTGTGAGGTTGATAGCAGTGTGACGGCTGTGGTTGTCTGTGAGGTTGACGGCATTGTGACGGCTGTGGTTGTCTGTGAGGTTGACAGCAGTGTGACGGCTGTGGTTCTGTGTGAGGTTGAAAGCAGTGTGACGGCTGTGGTTCTGTGTGAGGTTGACAGCAGTGTGACGGCTGTGCTTCTTCTCTGTGAGGTTGACAGCAGTGTGACGGCTGTGGTTGTCTGTGAGGTTGACAGCAGTGTGACGGCTGTGGTTCTGTGTGAGGTTGACAGCAGTGTGACGGCTGTGGTTCTGTGTGAGGTTGACAGCAGTGTGACGTCTGTGGTTCTGTGTGAGGTTGACAGCTGTGTGACGGCTGTGGTTGGCTGTGAGGTTGACAGCAGTGTGACAGCTGTGGTTCTCTGTGTGACCTTGACAGCAGTGTGATGGCTGTGGTTCTCTGTGAGGTTGACAGAAGTGTGACGGCTGTGGTTCTTCTCTGTGAGGTTGACAGCAATGTGACTCCTGTGGTTCTCTGTGAGGTTGACAGCAGTGTGACGGCTGTGGTTCTCTGTGTGAGGTTGACAGCAGTGTGACGGCTGTGGTTCTCTGTGTGAGGTTGACAGCAGTGTGATGGCTGTTGTTCTGTGTGAGGTTGACAGCAGTGTGACGGCTGTGGTTGTCTGTGAGGTTGATAGCAGTGTGACGGCTGTGGTTGTCTGTGAGGTTGACGGCATTGTGACGGCTGTGGTTGTCTGTGAGGTTGACAGCAGTGTGACGGCTGTGGTTCTCTCTGTGAGGTTGACAGCAGCGTGACGGCTGTGGTTCTGTGTGAGGTTGACAGCAGTGTGACAGCTGTGGTTCTCTGTGAGGTTGACAGCAGTGTGACGGCTGTGGTTCTTCTCTGTGAGGTTGACAGCAGTGTGATGGCTGTGGTTCTCAGTGTGAATTTGACAGCAGTGTGATGGCTGTGGTTGTCTGTGAGGTTGACAGCATTGTGACGGCTGTGGTTCTCTGTGTGAGGGTGACAGCAGTGTGACGGCTGTGGTTCTGTGTGAGGTTGACAGCAGTGTGACGGCTGTGGTTCTGTGTGAGGTTGACAGCAGAGTGTCGGCTGTGGTTGTCTGTGAGGTTGACAGCAGTGTGACGGCTGTGGTTGTCTGTGAGGTTGACAGCAGTGTGACGGCTGTGGTTTTTCTCTGTGAGGTTGACAGCAGTGTGATGGCTCTGGTTGTCTGTGAGTTTGACAGCAGTGTGACGGTTGTGGTTGTCTGTGAGGTTGAGAGCATTGTGACGGCTGTGGTTCTCTGTGAGGTTGACAGCAGTGTGACGGCTGTGGTTGACTGTGAGGTTGGCAGCAGTGTGACGGCTGTGGTTGTCTCTCAGGTTGACAGCAGTGTGACGGCTGTGGTTGTCTGTGAGGTTGATAGCAGTGTGACGGCTGTGGTTCTCTCTGTGAGGTTGACAGCAGCGTGACGGCTGTGGTTCTCTCTGTGAGGTTGACAGCAGCGTGACGGCTGTGGTTCTGTGTGAGGTTGACAGCAGTGTGACAGCTGTGGTTCTCTGTGAGGTTGACAGCAGTGTGACGGCTGTGGTTCTTCTCTGTGAGGTTGACAGCAGTGTGATGGCTGTGGTTCTCAGTGTGAATTTGACAGCAGTGTGATGGCTGTGGTTGTCTGTGAGGTTGACAGCAGTGTGACGGCTGTGGTTCTGTGTGAAGTTGACAGCAGTGTGACGGCTGTGGTTCTGTGTGAGGTTGACAGCAGTGTGATTCCTGTGGTTCTGTGTGAGGTTGACAGCAGTGTGACGGCTGTGGTTCTGTGTGAGGTTGACAGCAGTGTGACGGCTGTGGTTCTGTGTGAGGTTGACAGCAGTGAGACGGCTGTGGTGGTGTGTGAGGTTGACAGCAGTGTGACGGCTGTGGTTCTGTGTGAGGTTGACAGCAGTGTGACGGCTGTGGTTCTCTGTGAGGTTGACAGCAGTGTGACGGCTGTGGTTCTCTGTGAGGTTGAGAGCAGTGTGACGGCTGTGGTTCTCTGTGAGGTTGACAGCAGTGTGACGGCTGTGGTTCTCTGTGAGGTTGACAGCAGTGTGACGTCTGTGGTTTTCTGTGTAAGGTTGACAGCAGTGTGACGGCTGTGGTTCTGTGTGAGGTTGACAGCAGAGTGTCGGCTTTGGTTCTGTGTGAGGTTGACAGCAGTGTGACGGCCGTGGTTGTCTGTGAGGTTGACAGCAGTGTGACGGCCGTGGTTGTCTGTGAGGTTGACAGCAGTGTGACGGCTGTGGTTGTCTGTGAGGTTGACAGCAGTGTGATGGCTGTGGTTCTTCTCTGTGAGGTTGACAGCAGTGTGATGGGTCTGGTTGTCTGTGAGTTTGACAGCAGTGTGACGGCTGTGGTTGTCTGTGAGGTAGACAGCAGCGTGATGGCTGTGGTTCTGTTTGAGGTTGGCATCAGTGTGACGGCTATTCTCTGTGAGGTTGACAGAAGTGTGACGGCTGTGGTTCTCTGTGAGGTTGAAAGCAGTGTGACGGCTGTGGTTCTGTGTGAGGTTGACAGCAATGTGACGGCTGTGGTTCTCTGTGTGAGGTGGACAGCAGTGTGACGGCGGTGGGTCTGTGTGAGTTTGACAGCAATTTGACGGCTGTGGTTCTG